AAACCCATATTTAGGTGGACAAATGTTACATTTTATAATAGGGGATTCTTATGGAAGGGAGCAGTTGAAGAAAGCAAGCAAGATGGCAGCCTATTGGACATGTGCCCATTTACAGTAGGAGAAGAAAGATAGTAACAAACTCTAAAGAGCTCTGTTTCTTTTCCTAGAGACAGGTGAGACTAGTGAAGTATCCAGTTGAGCAGAAAAGTTGAGAAGACTTCTCTAAGGGGTATATGTAGTTGAAAGGGCACTCAATAAAAGTGTGAACTAGCCATAAAACTCATATGTGGCAGGGCTTGGATTTAAATTCTGCCACCAGAGCTCCAGCTCGTTTTTTGCTTTGAATATAAATTTTTATTATTTAAAGATATCTTTAGTAAAATTGATTACTGTAACTCCAAAGGCAAGGGAAGAAATTGGTGAATACCATTGTGAACCTTCAATGTAACAAGAAAAGAAAACTAAAATGAAAAATCAATAGTTCCACAATATAGTTGAAAATTTTACCCTTCTGTCAGTAATTGATAAGTAAACTTCAGAAAATCAGAAAGATTTAGAACATTTGAATAATACTATCAAAGAATAGCCCAAATTTATATCTATAAATCACTGTAAACAATAATAGAATACATGCTTTGTTTAACTCCAAAGGGAGTCTGTTTATACTTCATCCTGAGAGCTCCTGCTCTTAACATTTCTAGTGATGCTTTTCTTAAGTGTTGGTACCAGGATCAGATGCATCAACATCATGGGGTACATAAAAATGCATATTCGTGGTCTTCAGTTACTGAATCAAATACCTGGAGCCAAAGCCCCCACTCTTCCAGAAGGTCAGCACCTAGCACTGGCAAATGACTTCTCTGTTGATATTTGAAGTACATCTTCACAACCTCAAATTGATGAGAGGAACTGTTGGGGACAAATATAATTGAGGATGAATTATCCTGTGACTTTATTTGTTTATTTACTTATTTTTTTGGTGGTACTGGGGATTGAACTATGGGCAGGTGCTCTACCACTTGAGCCACACTTCCAGATTTTTGTGCTTTATCTTTCAGATAGGATCGTGTACTTTTTTCTCAGGCCAGCCTTGGACTGTGATCCTACTACCTACACCTCCCAAGTAACTGGATTATAGGCATGAGCCATAGTGCCTAGCCTTCATTAGTTTTAAAAGACACAGTTTTACTATGTAGCCAAGGCTGGCCTTGAACTAGCAGTCCTCCTGCCTCAGCCTCCTGAGTGCTGGAATTATAGGTATGTACCACCACATTGGGCTCATTTTTATTTTTTAGTATGTCCCCAAGGCTTATGTAATCAATAGCCAGTTACAAGTCAAATATCTCCATGAAGTATGTTTACAACCTTATGTGCTCACCTGTCCAAATGGCAGAGTGACAGGCTGATGGGGGGAGGCAGGAGGACAGGTTGGGCAGAATCTGGTGCTCTATGCACTGGGGTAGGACTCGTGCCTTGCAGAGAGACTTCTGGTCTCTCACCAGGTGCCTCTGCAATATTCCAAGTTAAAAACTTCAATGAGGCAGTTTTTTAATTGAGTCCTTTTCAGCTTTTGGCTTTTGTGTATCTTATGAAGACAAAGATGGGAGAAAGAAATTAGCACAAGGAATACAGACAGAAACTGGGAGAGGATACACAAGGAGAGGCAGCTGTTCAATAACAATGTATCTTTGTTAAGTACTAGCTATGTATCAGTTAGTTTATTTGTAGTAATATCACTGATTTTTGGAACATCTGTATAAGATATAGTACTATTATTATTTCTGTTTTTAAAAGGTAACTGCCTGAAGTCACACAGCCTCTAGATGGCAGAAGTGGAATTTTAACTTAGATCTATACTGATTCTAGAACCCATTCTCTGAAGCCATCATGTTGTGTCATCTGTCCAACCTAATGCCTGCACAATTACCAATGTCTCCTAGAGACATTCTTGCCATAAGGAAGTCATTTATAGACAACTGTTTCTAGAAAAACAGAGCCTGTAAGGAAGGGCTGATGATCTCTCAGATCAGTGAGAAAAAGTGTTGCCAAATGCCCTTGGGTAGATCACTTTACCTCTCAAGGTCTCAACATCCACATCTCTAACAGGGAGGAGTTATAACAGGCAATCCCCTTTCTATGGTTTTTTGATTCTATCAGATAGCTAGAATGGTCTTCCAATTCTGCTATTGAAGTCCCTTCAAAAAGCTTCCTCCTTGAAATGTGTGGGCAAAGGGAGACGTCTAATATGTAGTAAAGCATACCCTGAAACAGATGCATTTATGGTACCAAGGATACAGAGTTGAAGATAAATATGCTCCCCCCGCACCGCCTTCAAGGTGCACACATTCATGGGGAAAGCAGATATCAAAGCATGATGAAGAATATATATCACAGACTATTTAGTCACTGGAATAAACACAGAGTGCTATAGAAGAGACAGGAGGAGAATGTGAATTAGCCTGGGGATTGGGAATGGTGAGGGAAGGTGCCCCAGAGAAGTAGATAATCTCTGGTCTGATCTTCTAAGCATGATGAAGTCTGAGGAGAAATGAGGGCTAAAGAAGGAAGGGGGTTTCTCATGTTCTGTCAAGAAAGGCACTTGGCTAGTGCTAGTTGCTGCTTGAGAAGTCAGAGTTCTTGCCAGTCGCAAGCATCTGAATGTGGAAGCTAGAAACTATATTCTTTCCTCCCTAGCCTTTCCGGCAAAGCTCAGCCTCTATTAACTCTTCCCACCAAGGGTATACACTACAGGTGGAAAGGCTTAGTTTTCATTTCTAATTTTGTCTTAACCCATTGTGCATACTCTGGGCTACCTCCTCATCTCATAGGATTTCAGTTTATCTGTGAGTAAAAACAGTGGCACTGGCCTATTGCCACTGGACAAATTCTAAAGCCTAGAAAGATCTTTGAGTGACCAGTTTCATTTCCTGTAAGACTATAAGACAAAGAAGAATGCTTTCTAATTTTAAATTTTCTACTGCCAGACATTTCTAACCTTAATTAGTCATTCTTCTAGTTTTAAAAACTGTTCTGTCAGTAAGTTCTCCCTATTTAAACCTTTCTTGCTATTTCTTAAGGTCCTTGTCTTCTGTGGCCTCACTGGGTAACGACAAAAGCTGGTTGCTATGTGGCAGACAAGCTTGGAGGCTACTTTGAGACTTCTTAAGAATCCATGTGAAGGCAAAGTGAGCTTTCGAGTTCTTAGAATGTCAGTGGGATCTTCCTCAGTGAGGAAAGATGTGAAAGTGAAGCCAGAAGTCCCTAAAGCGGCCTGCCTTTAATGGTCCTGCTGATTCCCAGAGATCTGGAACCTAGAATATAGCATTCCTTCTCACCAGTCAAGTACCTCCTCTGTGGCAGTTCTGTGTTTTGGTACTTCTTGCATCTACATTCATGACAGGTGTCCCTTCCATGTCCTTTGGTGTGACATTCAAGTATAATGGTCTTATGATCAGGATTTTTTGGTTGCAAATAGCAGAGACTTACTTGAGTTTTCTCAATTGAAAAGGGAATTTATTATAAAAAAAGGAAACTGGTTTCTCTTTTCTCTAGATTGTTCATGGACCGTAATGAGTTTTTCTCATGATGTATCTGTTTCATGTTACTTTTCTACTCTAGTTTCTCCCTCTACCAGTCAGGTTTCTCATCTTACCCAGAACTGATGTCCCCTCATAAGTTTGGATACAACTTGGCTTTAGCTTGACACAGATTGATTCTACCTACTGTTTTTTCAACTTCTGCACTCTCTGTTAATTAACTCAGCATCTCTATATTTCTCTATAATTTCTTTTCTTTCTTTCTTTCTTTTTTTGAGACAGGGTCTTGCTAAGTAGACCAAGCTGTTCTAGAACTCATAATCTGTCTTAGCCTCTTGAGGGCTGAGATTACAAGTATGAACCACATACTCAGCTATGTACCACCACTATGTTTCTTAATTAAAATTTTCAGAAGTAAGAATTTGGTCCAGATAATCTTTTCATGCCAGACTAAATGTAAGTCATTACAGGCTAGTCAATGAATTTGGTTGTATTTTTGTCTGGTATCAATGCTTGATCCAACTCCATGTGGCTCCTCAAATGCAGGGTAAGGTCATAGGTTATAAAATGTGAAAATCTAGGCAGTTAGAAAGAGCTCTGATATGAGGTAGTTACTTGTAGAAGACATATTGGCAAGCAGATTCAGACTGCTTTGCCAGTCTGAAAGACAGACTGTTACTGTCTTTGTAACAGTAAGAATACCACTAAGATCCTGTGGAGTTTCCCTACAGTGACTATGTTACCTAAACCAAAGGGAGATAAAGGTAAGAAGCAGAGTGGAAAGTATTGGGAGCCAACAAAGTGAGGGATACTTGGCTGGTGGGCTAAATGATTTTTTGAGGAAGGAGTGTAGTGCCCTGCTCACCAAGAGAAGCCTAACCAACCTGTATGTGATTTGCTGACTTCAGTTTGGAAGCTGACTCCAAGTTACAAAACTCATGACCTATTGCCAGCTACTAGAGGCCTGCTTGAAACTTAGAAAAATTTCAATTTTAGGAAACATTAGTGGTCTCCTTATTGTTATTTTCTGTAAATAAGACCAAGTTATAAGAAATTAGAAAAATTAATCTTAAAAGTTATTGGCTGGGCATGGTGGTGCATACCTGTAATCCCAGCACTTGAGATGCTGAAGCAGGAGAATGGCAAGTTCAAGGCCAGCCTGAACTACACAATGAGATGCTGTCTTCACACCACTCCATAGTTTGACTGTAAAATATACATTAGCCTGTTTCAACTTCCATTACTACCCTTTCTTTATGAGTTGTCCCCTCCACTGTCTAATGCACTCCACTGCTGATGGCATGGCAAAGAAATCTTGTTGAGTTCACAATACCATAGAAATCTAGAAGTGCAAGGTCTGAATGAAGGAGGCAGTATCAGAGCTGAGCTAATCCAGGGGGTATATTGGGATAACAGAAAGACTATTGCATTTTTTTCTACCTGTGTGTATGCTTTTCTTTCCAGGACTACTGATTAGCTCAGGCTGTGCATTATACCCTTTGGGATGGAACAGCCCGGAGATAATGCAAACATGTGGGAATGTCTCCAATCAATTTCAGTTAGGTAAGGTGTCTGGACAGGATGGCAATAATGCTTCATGGAAAAGGTTTTCTAGCCTCTTTAAGGAGCTTCTGTTTGTTAGTGGTACTTTGTCTGAATCTCTTATGCTGTTAGCTTATGGAAGGTGGTGTTTGGGCAAAATCACAAGTGTTGGCTATAAATTCTACTTCTCTCCGCATTATTACACACTTTTACTTAGAGTCATTTGACCAGTTTGGAGAAACTCAAGAAGAATTTAAAATTTACTTGTAGCCAGACATGGTGGCACACATCTATAATCCTAGCACTTAGGAAGCTGAAGTCAGAGAGCTGTAACCTTGAGGCCAGCCTGGGCTACACAGTGAGACCCTGTCTCAAAACAAACAAACAAACAAACAAACACTTGGAGACTAATGATCTACTATCTTCTGAATAAATCCTAGTTACTATTAGTGTTTCCTTCTTAGCACTGTTTCCCACATATAAATTGACAGTATTTCTTATTAATCTTCAATGAGGATATAACAAGAGGTAATTTAGTTTACATGAAGCATGAAAAAACTAGATTAGGTGTAAATTGTTCCTAATAGTAAGAGCTGTTAAATATTATAAGTAACAGTTATAACTCTAGAATAGTCCTTGGTTTCCTACTCTCACTGACTGTAACTAATGTTTGCAGTTGTGAATTAGTAAGATATGAGACTCTAACTGGAAGACTTCAAACTATGTCCCCAACCTATCATGATGGAATTGGGTAGGAGAGGACATGTCTAAATTTCCTTGAATATATTCTCAACTGTAGGAATGGATTTGTGAACCATGAGTCCACTTGTACTCCCAATATTTTTCCCTCCTCTGTGTTGCCTGAAACTGTCTTTTGAGCCTCATCTGACTCATGTTCGGAGGAAGGAATGGTTTTCCTTACAAACATAACATGAGAGCAGGTCTATATGGAAGATATGACAAGTCTGGACTCTGTAATATCCATTATTCTTGATTCAGGTCAGAGAAGATTGATAAATATAATAATTTTGTCATATAGGATGGAATGAGGAAAAACATAGGGCAAGTGTTGAAGAAAAGCAATAGAGTCATTGGTCTTGCTAGCTGGGCTAGAGAAAACTGAAAATTAAGCATACATCTCCTACTTAGTTGTTAGGTTTAAGATTATACCTTTTAAAAATAATAGCCTTATTGATATATACTTCACATACCATAAAATTCAGCTTCTTAAAGTGTATAATCAATGGCTTTTAGCTTATTCACAATGTTGTGCAATTATCACTACTATCCAATTCCACAATATTTTCATCAGCACAAAAAGAAACCTCTTACCCTTTAGCCATCAGTTCCAAGTCCCCTCTGCCTCCAGCCCCTGGAAAACACTGTCAATATGGATTTATCTATTTTGGACATTTCATATAAATAAAATAATGTAACATATAGTATCCTTGGAAGTACAAATGTATTTAGTTTTGAAGAAATCATGCTCAAAATGCAACAAAGACTCAAATTGTAAGACCTGAAACTATAAAACTGGATTTTTTTGTCATGTTGTTAAAGTTTTTGTTTTATGTATTCTATTTAGATAGTAGACCTTTTTAGATATTTGCAATATTTTCTCCCATTCTGTGGGTTGTCTTTTCACTTTCTTAACGTTATCTTTTTGAAGTACAAAAGTATTTAATTTTGATGAAATCAGATTTATCTAACTTTTTCTTTTGTTGTTTGTGCATTTGGCATCACAGGTAAGAATACAGGCATAAATCCAAGGTTATGAAGGTTTGCCCCTATGTTTTTTTTGTATACTGTAAAGTGGAAGTCCAAATTCCTTTTTTGTTTTGGATATCCAGTTATTAAATAGCCTATTTTTCCCCCATTGAATGGTCTTTGTACCTGTGTTGAAAAATCAATCACCCATAAATGTAACTGTTTGTTATTTGGACTCCTACTTGTATTCCATTGACTTATATGCGCATCCCTGAGCCAGTACCACACTATCTTGACTATCATAGCTTTGAGGGGCTAAAATTGGAAAGTGTGAGTTCTCCTTTGTCAAAACTATTTTGGCTATTCTGGGTCCTTTGGATTTCCATGTGAATTTTAGGTTCAGCTTGTCAAATTTTACATCAAAGTCAGCTGATATTTTGATAGGGATTGTGTTCAATCTGTACATTATTTTAGGGGGTATTGTCCTTTAATAATATTATGCATTCTGGTCCATTTACATGAGATGAATTTCCATTTAGTTAGGTCATGTTTAATTCCTTGCAGTGATGTTTTGTACACAAATTTCATTTCTTTGGTTAAATTTATTCCTATTTTATTCATCTTTAAAATATTTATTTTAATTGACAAACAATAACTATATATACTTATGGTATAAATGTGATATAGTAAACCATGTGTGCACTGTAGAATATTTAAATCAGGGTAATTAACACAGACATATTTTCTTAATTTTATTTTCAAATTACTTGTTATTAGTGTACAAAAATACAAATGTTTTTTATTTCTAGTTATTTACCTAGTTATTTTAGTATCCTGCAACCTTGCTTCCTTTATTGATGCTAATGCTTGCTTAGTGGATTACTTAGGATTTTGTATATAGAAGATCATGTCATCTGAAAATATAGTTTTGCTTCTTCCTCTACAATCCAGATGCTTTGTGTTTCTTTTTCTTGCTTAATTTCCCTGCCAAGGACCTCCAGGAAAATTTTGAATAGAACTAGTGAGAGCGGAAAGAAATCCTTATTTTAGCCCTGATCTTAGGTGTAAAATAGCCAGTTTTGCATCATTAAGTATTGATGACTTTAATCTTGTTTACCACAAAACTATTTTTTCTTCCTTCTTTTACTTAGTTGCATTCTATTCCTTTAGTAATCCTTTATCCTGTACTATATGTCTTCTTGAGGGCTCTAGCTCCTCTCTCCTCAATGTACTAAATATGTGATATTCTGTGAATCCCTAGAAATAAATGGAATAGTGAAGCCTACTTGAGTCAAGTCTCATAGTTCCCTTCATTGAACTAACTTTGAATTTTTCTGGTTTCTTAAGTGTCATTCATTTGTCTTTGGAGTTGGTAGGGAGGAGAGTAGATACAGGTATTGTTGATCTGTCAAAGTAAAATAAATTTCTCACTCTGACACTGTGACAGGCCTTCCACAGTCCCCAGCATGAAGGGCTCATACTTGTGTCTTCAACCCATCTTTCCATAGGCTTCTATTCCAGTTATCCTGAGCCATCAATACTATGATTTTTAAAGATTTTCCAATTAAGACTGCTCAATAACAGAAGTATCACCAAGCTTGTTCAGAAATGAACCTGTATTATGTCTAATACAGGTTGAGCAGTCCTAATAACTCCATTTGCATCTTGGTTTCTTGGATCACTAAGCCAATCATAAAAAGTCTTCGGCTACTCTGAAGAGACCACATAGAAAGTTCTAGAGATCCTTGGAGACAGAGATAGACTCAGTTGAATCCAGCCTTTCATCCATTTCTGCCAATGGACCAGACTTATAAGTGAAGCTTTCCTGGACTATCCATACCAGTCATATGAATATCACTGATTGACCCTGAGGTAATTTTTCTGGTACAGCAATAAGTAACCAGAAAAAATGCCAAACAATGTATATAGATATATTTTTTCTCTTGCCAAGCTCATTTTTATTTCACTATGAATACATTAATAAAATAACAAATAAAAGTAGACAAGGTATACAAAATGCAAGCATGAGTATATGTAGGAAAATGTGTTTCTAGTTTCTTACTTCAATAATCACAGAATTTAAGGGAAGAAAGTGACTTTAAAAATCATCACATTGAGTGATATAAGCCAAGCTCGAAAAGTCAAGCATCACATGTTTTCACTCATATTTGGACTCTAGACCTAAAATTATGATGATGATGATAGTAGGACATGAGTGTAAAAGGGGGATCAGTGGGAGGAGGAAGAGGAAATGAAAAGGTACTGGGGTGGTGAAGAGAACCAAAAATCTTACATATGTGTACACACACAGACATATACATATAAATATATATATATATATATATATATATATATGGATACACTGTTTGAAAAAGGGGAGATGAGTGAGGGAGGTGAAAGAAATATAATGGGAGGTGAATTGTTCAAAGTATAGTGCATGCATCTGTGGAATTATCACAATGAAAACTCATATTAATATATGCTTATCTATAAAAAAATCTTAATTCTAGAAAAGCTAATTAATACTTGCCAAATCTCACAGTTACTTCATTCATTGAACTATTCATTTATTCATTCACTTAACTCTTCCTTATCCCCTATATGTTATTTTTTTGGTGGTACTGTGGTTTGAAGTCAGGCCTGGTTCTTACAAAGCAAGGGGTCTACCACTTAAGCCATACCCCTAGCCCATATTTTCAATCAAAAGTAGCTTGTATATGTTGCAAAATAAAACAGTAAATATATTTAGGTTGAAAATGCAGTCAGTCTTTTTCCTGAACTTAATCCTATTCCCCAAAATGACCACTAAGTTTTTTGCATTTTCCAGAAATTTTAATAAATATAAAAGTATTTGTTTCCAAGTGTGATCATATTTTTAATGTAAATATTGAGTTATTTAGCTAGCTATGCTTTTCAGCACTTTGAGTTTTTCACTTACCTATCTCGTCAATATATGTGTATATGTGTATGATATATGATATATGTGCACATATATACATATGTACATATATCATACTCCTACATTTTAGGTTTGTCATATTTTTTCATTTTTATAAGTAGCATATGCTTTATGAAGGCAGAGATTTTTGACTGTTGTTTATTTATATCTTGCTAGTGCCTGCTTGAACAGTATCAAATAGTAGGCACTGAATAGTTTTAGAATGACTAAATTGCATACTTTTAACTACTCTTTTATTTATGCACATTTACATTGTTTCCAGTTTTTAACTTTTCAATACATATTTTGGTGAACAACCTTATGCATATGTCTTAGCATAATAGTATTCCCTAGCATATAGTATACAAACACATAT